CAATCAAGCCGCTGAAAGTTTCATAGAATGGTAGATATCTTATATAATCTGAGTCAACGTCAGAATCTAACCTAATCGGCTGTCTTCCTCAATAGATGTTAGCCGATTGTATGTTAGATGGTGATATTGCCAGAGATTATATAAGATACATGATAACTCGACGAATTACATAAACAAGATTAGAGTATCATGAAGATGGAAGCACTAATCTCAAGAATGCGAGCCGACATAACAAGTTTTACCTCTTGTTGAAGATCGAAACCGATGCAGCTCAACCCGAAAGCAAGAACTCGTCGAAACAAAACTAAAGCAAAAGGGTGGCGATGCGCCGAAATTGTATTGAACGTGTGTGTTAAAAGTTACATAGGGCTCAGGTCTATTTATACCCGAGAATTACAAGATATGTCCATAACGGACACGACTACTATCTCTAACAAACTCTAAGATACCATAAGTCTTTACGGCAGACTTTTGCCCAAACATATCTCTAAGGAAATTACATAAAACATCCTAATCAATAGATATAATTGCCCCCTCAGGACTCTATCCATGTGCGGCAATCATCTTAAAGCACCTCAATCTAACCCGACATCACACATCAAGTTGTATTGTCGGGATCGGGTACATCAGCTTACCTAGCCCAACTCAGACTCAGCCGATCTGGACTTCAGCCGATTCCTGTTCTGTTTTCGAACTCGATCTCCGCCTCCGACTTTGCTTCGATCTAATCTTCTTTCCCAAATGCCGATGTTACCAAATTTGGTTGTTAACACCTATATGTATAAGTTACTTTTTTTTACAAAACCGAACATACGTATGTACGCCTCCTCTTCCTTCAATTCATTTCTCCACTTTTTCACCTATTACTTCTCCTATTTTCATGCCTTATTAGTTAGATAAGTAATAATTTTGTGTTAAACAATTAAGCTTCTAAATCATACAACTAATTCTTGATCTGCGTAAATCTTTAGATTATTTATAACTAAATTTACAGTTGAGGACCATATTTCACTGTAATTTAGCTTTGAAAAAAATGTCATTTTGGTTTATATTTCTGATTTTTGCGTGCCATTCAAGCAATTAAAAACATATAAAATAATGATAATAATATAGATTTTATCATCATGCATAACTTTATAATAATTAAATTAGGTCTACAATCATAAAAGTAAAATGAATATACTATGAGTAATGTTTACAAAATATGTAGTTAGAAAGCAAAACTTATGCAACAAAATAAGCAACTATAACATCTAACTCACTCTACTAACATTTGATGAACTTACGTCTTTAGATTATTTTACATTTAAAGACACATATCTACCATAATATCGACTTTGAGAAGAAATATGTCACTTTGGGGCTATATTTTCTGTTTTTTGTATGCCATTCAAACAATTATAAAATTATATAAGGATAATGATATAGATTTTATCACCATATATGACTTCGAAATAATTAAATTATATCTATATGGATAAAAGTAAAATGAACCTAACTCTGAGGAATGCTTTAAAAAACTACTCCCCTATTATAACATTAGAATAATTCAAAATAACATTATTAGATTGTAGTGTTTGTATTTTTAATATCTATTGTGACTATACGGGAAAAGACAAGTAAAACGATAAATTTCAAACGCAATATACAAATCAAGGTTGGAAATTTCGATCATTTCTAACCCCTCAGATACGATATTATTTCGGCCGAATTTTTCATTTTTTTATTTTTTCATGAATTTTGGTAATATTTGTTTAAATTTAACTAAATTTTGTTTAAAATTTTGGAAATTTCAGACTGAAATTTCGGAAATTTTGGTATTTCGGTGATGCCCGATCAAATTGGCTAAACCGAAAAGTTTAACCCTGTGTACAATACATCCCCGCGCGAATGCGCGGGCTACCTTACTAGTTCTTAAATAAATAGCTAATCCGCTCTCTTTTTTTCTTCAAAAAGAAAAAGTTTATTACTTTTTTTAAGAAAAAAATATAGACGGTGCCAATTTTATGGAATAGAGATTAAAGAAGGGGCAATATGTACATGTACGAGAGGAAAAACATAGCTCATCTTTTTTATTAGTTTCTTCTGGTTTGCAAGCTCGTCCCTGAGCAAGTATGAGGTGAGCGACCGCACTTGAAACATAGCTTAAGAAACGAGCATTAAATTGATCTAACTTTCCTGATGTGGTTGAAGGGCCAATGGCTGTGATGCAGATCAAGTAAAAAGACAATCTTAATAAAGACACGTCCCGACGTATTGTAAAAAATATATAGCCTTAATCTATCATATAATTAGTATTTTTAAACACAAAGCCTCATTTTAAATTTGGCATAAGGCCCCCCAAATTGCTAGGGACAGCCCTGCTCATTTGTATGTGTTTGTGTTTGTGATGTGTGGGGTGTTTAATTTGTCTTGCAAGACACTCCACGGCGACCTGGTATCTAAAGCCAACTGGACTCGGTCGATCTCCTAGCTAGCGACTAGCGAGAGAGCAATAGCATATGCGCAATATGCAGTGCACCCTTTCCAAAGAGCTTCTCTGCTGGGCCTGTTCGTTGGAACGTCCCCCGGCGAATCGGGTTGCCCCATCTCCACTCCACCTACTCCATCCATCCCCATCCAACCATCGTCTATCGCGCATGCACAAAAATGCCATGGCGAGTTGGTGACCTTCTAAGCTTTCCTTCAGTTATTATTGACTCCTTCCGTCTCCATGACCACACATATACCGATATACGTATTGTTGCAGCTGGATTTTTAGTGGAAGCTGAGACAGTACGTACTGCACAAAGTTTCAGTATATATATTCATGGCACTGTTTTGAATTACGTAGTAATAAATTCTCGCACAACTCATATCTATCAGAACAGTGAAATATACATATATCATAATGGATGAAACTGAGTTTACATGATACTTTTTCGAGGTAAAAAAAATGAACTAAATGTTGGAAGGTTGAAAAGCCTAATATTTAAAACGGAAATGCGAAATTTCTATCGACAGAAAACACAACCTCAAATCTTGCAAATTTTGGATCACTGGATGTGCTTCACGATTCGTGCTCTTCTTCTCCAACTCCGGCAACCACCTCTTCTTCTCCGGCGCCGGCGAACCCAAACTCTGGCAGAGGGCCGACGAATTAGGGTCCCGGGGTGGGGTGGGGTAGGGGTGGGGGGAGGGAGGGAGGGGGAAGAGGGGGGAGTTCGCTGGCTTTAAAGGGATGGCCATGGGAGGCAGTAGCCCGGCGGCGGGCGGCGGATTGGGCGGGCGGCGAGGCGGCGGCGGCGCCGTCGAAGCCGCGGGGTTGGGAGCGGGCGGTGGCCCGGTGTAGGCGGCCGGTGGTGGCGCCCCGCCGCTGGCGATGGGGAAGATGACGGACAGCACGCCGCCGCCGGCTTGAGGCAAAGGAGGAGAGGGGGAGGGGGCCAGTCGGCGGGGCCTCGCCGACGCCGTTGACACTTTTCGGCCAGCTGGCGAGGCCGGGTGGCGGCACGGTGGGGCGGCAGCGGCGACGGTGGCGATGCAGGAGGCGCGCGGTGCTGAGAGGAGCGCTCGAGCGTTGTGCGGCGGCAGGAAGGAAAAAGGAAAAGTGGTTAGGGTTTGGTGGGGTTTGCACGAATCTCAAATCAATCCAATGGTCACAAATTTACAAGATATTAGGAGGGGTTTTCTGTCAAATGACGAGTAGACAGTCCCTATTTAAAAGTATTTTAGGAAATGCCAATAAGAAAGTTTTGGTATGTATCATTGCCCCAGATCGGAACAAGAGTTTTTGGTGCGAGTATTTGAATTCATTCGCCTGATTGTACTTGCTCATTACATAACTGCACACAAATGCGTTAGTTAATTAGTTATCTGATGGATAGATCGATCGGTGGCCCAGCTACTGCAGCTGGTGCATGCGTGCGTATATCTGAAACGTGGTTTCATTAATGGAAGGGAATATATCTCCTGGCCAAAGCAACCAACCAGGCCCTAGTATAAGATATTTCAATCAACATTGTGCACCTGCACGTACGGCCTCTCCAACAACGTACAGATCGAGAGAGAATAATGTTGGTCGTGCATATATGCAGCATGCAACTTAGATCGATATCGATCTCATGCATCCACACAGAGCACCTGCATATGCTTCTCTCCTTGGCAATATTATGCTTTAATTTCAGCTAGCTTAGCTGCAGGGTGTACTGCTAGCTCCTTGCTAACTTCTGTTGAAAAATGGAACAGGATATGCCGGGCGTTGTTGGTCGATCGGATCGTGGACAGTTACCATGTCGCACTATGCATGCACCTAGCTGTTCGATCGATCAATCTCCGGCGTTTCCTTTCTCACGTATTCTAAGGTTAAAATCTCAATTAGTTCTCTCGTACAATTTTATGAGTAAAGATTCTACGACTACATATGAGTAAAATCTACAATTTAACAATTTTTATATGTACGATTCTACGATCACAACAATCCTAAGCATGCTTGGCACAATTTTAGCTCTAGCTTCACCTCTCCTGAAGTTGAAGCTCAGCTAAACAATTTCAGCTCTACTTAAAATGGAAGCGGGGCTGGGTGTAGCGTTTTCACAAAATGAACTAGAGAAGTGGAATTGAGTTTAGGCAGCTCTACAACTCTACTCCAGACTCAACTCCTGAAGTTAAATTTAGAAGTTGAAACTCTACCAAACATACCCTTAGAACTTTCGATTTTGATTCACGATCAAGATTTTAACAAACCTTGAACGTATTGGGCACAGATCGGTTTTTGCATGCCTATACGTGAGAGCGAAGCAACGTACTACATGCCATTGCCATCTCAACTACGTATTAGTTAGCCGCCTACTACTACTTGCTAGGAATATTGCGTACATGTTTGTATATATACATATGCGCACACACACACTTGGACATAATTAAAGAAAAGAAAAGGAGAAAAAGGTGTATATGTAATGGATCTCTTATTGGGGAATGAACCACACGGGGAAAAGGTTGAATTGTGCACAGTATTGCATTCCTCCTGCTCATTGGTACCAGATGAGGATAGAGAAATCAGAGAGAGGGATAGTACGGGTGTGTGTGATTACAAGTAGCTTTTAACAGGGACAAGCTAGCTGTTGCCTGCAAGCTTTCCTTCTTCTTTTTTCCCCCTCTCGACGATCTCTCTCTCATCAGGACCCCGGCCTTAAGTTGTTTCTTCCCTATCAGCTCAGGTCTCTCTCGATCTCTCCTAGCTAGATAGATAGCTTAATTAGCAGCTAGAGATGTGTCTCTAGCTAAGCTAACTAGCTAGTAGGCTTCTTCTTTTAATCCGGCATTGTTCTTGGCTGCTGGTCTTAGTTTTTGGCTGTCATGTATGGAGTTAGTGGTAAAATACTAGGTTAATTAATAATATAAGGCGTGTGTATATATTGGTGTGGAGGAGGAGGAGAAAGGGGGTTGGCCGGAGAGATCGATGACGTGGTGCAACAGCTTCAGCGACGTCCGCACCGCCGTGGACAGCAGCTTGTCGCCGGCCGCCGCCGTGGCCGCCGCCGCGGGGAAGAAGGCGGCGGCGTCGCTCGCCGTCCTCGTCAAGATGTGCCCCTCCTGCGGCCACCGCGCGCGGTATGAACAGGTATATATACTGCGTGATCAAGATCATGCCTTCTTCTTCTTCTTTTTTTCTGAATGCAACAGCCAACAGCTATAAATTCAGCAAGTGATAACTGATCATATATACTGCGTAGTACTACATTAATTCTTCTTTTGGTTGAGATGCAAATCAACAAATTAATTAAGATGAATTATTGCAGGAGACGACGACGATCCAGGACCTGCCGGGGCTGCCGGCCGGAGTGAAGTTCGATCCGACGGACCAGGAGCTTCTTGAGCATTTGGAAGGGAAGGCGAGGCCGGACTCGAGGAAGCTCCACCCTCTCGTCGACGAGTTCATCCCCACCATCGAGGGCGAGAATGGCATCTGCTACACCCATCCCGAGAGGCTTCCCGGTGGGTGTAAATTCTTTTTTCTTACAGTGGAATCAGAATCGGTAGCTTAAAATTCTTGATAAATGAGTTGATCGTTGCGTGCATTTGTGGGTGTAAATAAATTTGAAAAATTAATTCAGGTGTGAGCAAGGACGGGCTGGTGAGGCACTTCTTCCACCGGCCGTCGAAGGCGTACACGACGGGGACGAGGAAGCGGCGGAAGGTGCACAGCGACGAGGTCGACGGCGGCGAGACGCGGTGGCACAAGACCGGCAAGACGAGACCGGTGATGGCCAACGGCCGGCCCAGGGGCTACAAGAAGATCCTCGTCCTCTACACCAACTACGGCAAGCAGCGCAAGCCGGAGAAGACCAACTGGGTGATGCACCAGTACCACCTCGGCTCCGACGAGGAGGAGCGGGACGGCGAGCTCGTCGTCTCCAAGGTCTTCTTCCAGACGCAGCCCAGGCAGTGCGGCTCCACCGCCGCCGCCGCCGCCGCCAAGGAGGCCTCCGCCGCCGTCGCCGCCGCCGTGGTGAACAGCAACTACTCCATCGTCCATGGCCATCAAGGTGGTGGTGGTGGTAGCTTTCTCAAGGAGGCAAACGTTGTGCACGAGTTCTACGACCCGGCAGCAACGATGGGTTACCGGCCACCTGCTCCTGCTGCGCACTTCGCGCCAAACTTCGCGGTGCACGCGGCAAGGAACAGCTTTGGTGGCCCTTGAAGGAAAAACCAAAATTACACAAAATCTAAACATTACCGTTTATACCGATATGATTCACATAGGTGCCATTATATTACATTCTTAACCTTACATTCATCCATCAGTTATTTGCAGTTTTGTTCAAAGTTGTTATATCGTTTCCGATGCTATACTGTGCAAAGATTATTACTACACGCCGTTCTAACTCGAAAATGTCAATTAATGTATCAGTTTGTACATGTATACATGCACACGGAAGAGGTCCTGATGATGCATCACTTCATATATATCTTTAGATGTCTCGGATGGATGGTTCTAACATTATAGCTAGAGAAATTAACCTTGATCTCTGTTTCGTAGTCCCCAACATATAGGATTATTTCGTTAGTACAAACACGGAAGCCAGATATAATGAAGGGTTTGCAAACCAAATTTCTACGCCCTCCGACCCAAAATAAGTTGAACTACACGCTGAGTTTATTTTGAGACAGAGTGAGTAATAACTAAACACAGCCACACAGGTACTACAAACACTTGCCAATGATGCATGCAAAATAAACTGCACCAAGTTAACAATAACACAAACTGGAGTTTCAGGCTAAGTTACATTAGTTATTTCGCGCTCTCACCTCAACCGTGACAACAACGTTCATCGCAACAGGGAAAATCTAGCACGCATAAATAGAAAACCGCTACTTGCCAACTACGTGCTTCTCATATAAGGCGACGATGTCCTTCTTGTTGGGATTCTTCAGTTGCAGGAGTTGAGCACCAAACCCATGCTTAGTGAGCTCCTGCTTCAGCTTCAGCACAGTGAACTTGGTGTAGTCTTCAGTCTCCGTCTCCTGCGCTTGCTGGCTCCCGTTGTTAGTGTCTTCTCCTACAAATACAGAGCCACCGTCCTCGGTGTGATTGCTCTTAAACGGGCTCGTCGTGCTTTTTGATCGTTTCCTTCGCCTGCCAGTGTTGTCATCGTCGATATCCATATCATGGACAGACTCAGTAGCTTCACCCCTCAGGCGCCTTGCATGTGAGGCCTTAAGCTTGCTGTCCAGTGCGGTTTCATTGAACCGAACAGATGTCAGCTCTTGTTGGAGCATATCTAACTTGCTTTGAGTTGCCTGCAACTGCAGTGACAGAGCCTCAGCTCTCCTATTGGCCTCAGCGCAGGCTTCTCGTTCTGTCTCCAGTAGACTCTCAAGAACTTGAACTGTACTGGACCTTTGCTGGTTGCTCCGTTGCATCATCTCATCAATTTCCTTTTCCCGCTCGTCAACCCTTTGTTCAAGCGATGAAACCTTACATACAGCATCCTTCTCAGACTGACCAACTCGCTCAATTTCTTCCAGCATCTTATTCTTCTCTCTCTCCAGACCTTCAACCTGTCTCTCCATTCTTTCTATTAACGCAAGTCTCTCCATTGCTAGCCTCTGCGCTTCACCCTTATCCTTCTGGGAAGCAACAGCTTCTGCACGAGCTACGTCAGCCAATTCCGTTGCTCGTTTAGCCTCCCTTTCAGCTTCCTTGCACCGGCTGTCTGCCTCATCAAACCTCTTGCACTCTGTTAGATACTTCTCCTGAAGATGGTTTTTTTCTTGTTCCAAGATCTTCACTTCCTTCTCACGTGACTGAGCTTCAGTTCTAAAAGACTCCAAGCTAACAGTCAGTGATCTGATCTCTTCTTTCAAAGCCAGCGAATCTGACTCATGGTTCTTCAACTTTGCTTCAGTAGCCTGTGTTTGGTCATTCCAGGAATGAGAGACATAAATATCGCAAAGGGGAGATGATGAAAGTGAGAAAGCTACTATACCTCAAGCCTTGAGATCAAATTTGTGGCATGAATTTCGGTTTGGTTAATTTTTGTGTTTAATCTTGCGATCTCCTCTTCCTGTTAAGAAAACACAATAAAAAGTAAGGTAAGCAACTGTGAGATTTAAAACCAATCCACCGAGATTCTTAAGAGAAAGGATTACCTTCTCAGACAGTTGGCTAGCAAGTTCTGCCCTTAAAGCGTCTTCCCTTTCTTGCACTTTCTTATTAGTGCGTTCTTGTGCTACAGCTGCTCTTTGCAGAGCTGTTTTTGCCTCACTTACAGCAACTTCATATTTCCGTTTCCACTCCGATGCCTCTTCTTGAGCAGACTCAGCCTGTTCTCGCACAGCAGATAATCTGCCCTCACTGATATTTACCCTGGATTCCAGAGAAGCAATTTGAGACTTTAACTTACTTTCATCTGCCTTTTGCTGTAACAGATTGTGGTCGTATTTGTTCTTCCAATCAACAGATTCCCGTTTTGCATTGTCAAGAGCAGAAGACAAGCTCACACATCGTTCCTCCAACTTGCTACTCTTGGTCTGAAGTTCAGCAATACGTCCGGAGTAATCCCTTGAAATTTTCTGTTTATCATTGATAGATTCCTCATAGCGCCTTAGGTACTCAGCCCTATGCCCCTCACTTGCTTCGAGCTGCTTCCTAAGTAGTGCCAACTTATCATCATTTGAACTGCATTTCAATCTTAGGGAATTTCTTTCTGCATCTATATGCTCTATCTGTCTTCTGAAAAGATAAAGCACGGGGCCCGCCAAACTGCAGTTATCATGACAGATAAGATTATAATAAGTCAAAGCAAGAGTAAGGGAAAAGGTTTCGGCCCTCCAAATTAGTCCGGTTAACAGTAGGCATTGTGCAAGGGCATCACGTCAGAACTAAAGACATTAATAAAAGAAGCGGTACATACCACTGCTGTAAAAATGTAGCTAGTTTTTTCCATTTCCCTGGACCATAAGATTTTGACTCATACTCTGTAAGTAGGCCATCAATGAGCTGGAACAAAAAAGAGATTCACATAATTACATTAGTATTTCATTCAAGGCAAGCTAAAACATGAAAATGAAAAGACAATTCTCTACAAGTGAATAATCTTACCCTGACTATGTCATCCAACTTTGCATCAGGACGGTTGCATGCTGTCCGTATCTTTGACTCCATGCTCTGAATTCTATTCGAACATTGCAAATCAGCCTCTAGAAAAGTATTCCTTTTGTAGTCCTGCATGTATGCGAGTACTAGTTAACCTTATAGCTCAAACTTAAGCATTAAATTACACCAACTATTAATTGCAAAATTGATTAATGGTAGTTAAGAAAGAAAAAACAAACAATAGCAGACATGATACAATCCAAGTAACAGATAAGAAGAGATGGAGTCACCTCAAAGGCCTTCTTGAGAGAAGTTTGAAGAAGCTTCTCAAATTTTGAACGAGCTAACCCGGCACCAACAGCAGAAGCATTGAAGACACTAACAGCCTTTTTCAATGCATCTTCATGTGCTTCTCTCATGGCATCCTGCAAACATCCATGAATTAGTGTCTTGTTCCAAATAAGCTCAAATAAGATACCCCCTCTGTCCCAAAATATAAGGGATTTTGGACGGAGCCTGTCCAGATTCATTATACTAAGAAGTGTCCCATCCGTCCAAAATCCCTTATATTTTGGGGCGGAGGGAGTATCTAATACAAGCCATTCATAAGTGATGCCTACCTCTTCTGCTGGTTTTCTCCGGTCAAAAGAAGAATTGTAGGTATCAATTGCAGAATCATATGCCCTTCGACATTCTGCTTCCTCCACACTCTGCACAGCTAAAAACTATTAGATAAATTCCTCCCAAACAGAAACCATATAACCTGATGACATCAAATAATACGAGAAACACAGGAATAGTAAAACAACTTGTTGGTAATCTTCAAAACTATAATTGCTGTCATAGATCAGCAAACCGGTACAGTGCTATTTCATTCTCTCTTTTATTAGTTTTGCAGCCCTTCTAAGGCTGTGTTCTTCCCCCACCTTTCCCAACTCACCTCCCTCGTGCTCCGCGCGCACGCTTTTCAAACTACTAAACGTGTGTTTTTTGCAAAAGGTTTATATACAAAAGTTGCTTTAAAAAACCATATTAATCCATTTTTCAAGTTTATTTTAGCTAATACTTAATAAATTATGCACTAATCTCCGCTCCATTTTGCGTGTTGGGAGTGCGAGGGTTCCCAACCCTCACTCCCGAACTCAACCTAAATATTTTTCCAAGTCATCAGGTCCATAGAAAGCTGAAGTCCAAGCACAGCTTGCGTGCTCAAAAATAATTGAAACCTCAATCTTTCACATTTGATCTCAAACAGTTACTTCATGGAAGCTATTAACTCAGAATGCTAACTTCATAACTATCATTGGCTACAAAAAATAGCTGCTACAAGACCTCTACAACAGCAAACTCTTTATACGGTTAAGTTTACATAGGGAAAAAGATTAAGAAGTGATAGAACCAAATCATGAATTTGCAACTCGTTTACACGATATATGGAAAAGATCAGGTTAAGGCATATTTCTGTCTCTATTTTCAGTAGACTCACCTGCCATGACGAAGATATCGTAGGTACTGCACCAGTATTGATCGCATCGAGAAATGATTGTGTCAGTCCAGAAAGGACAGGGCCTGTCAGGGTGCTAGCTCCAAGTTGTTTAGGCCTTGTTCGGTCAAAGACAAATTTTGTCAAAGCATCCAGACCAGATCTAAACTCTGGACGGAAGTTATTCAACTGCAAACAAGGACACAAACTAATCATCCAGCAGAAATAGAAATGAATAGCATAAAAATAACAGAAATGCTTTATGAACATCAACCACAAAGACAAATGCAATCATGTTGAAATATGGAGTACAACTATAACTTCACAAAGCTCATCAAAGCTCCAAAGACAATTGATGTCAACTTTTTTTCCTCCAACAAGGTTTTTTTTTTTTTGAGGGAAAGCATTGTAGGGGAAGGCCCCACAGTTAAATTCCAACAAGGTATATCACAGTCCATGTTGTGAAAGCGCCAGTATTTACAACAATAAAGACACGTGCCATTGCCATGTGCACATATTGGCCAAAAGGCCGATGTTTCTGGCAGGTACCATGATTATGTCATCATCATTTTTCAGAGATGTGATTATGCTATTATCTATGAGATTATATCATAACTACCATCCTTTTTTTTTCAAATATTGAAATCCAATCAGCAGTCAAGAGTCCAACATGTGCAGCAAAGTTGCACAAGTATGCAGCTATAAACTTTGACAAAAAAAGTTATGCTAGTTGATAGCAGTTCAAAGGAAGTAATGATAATACATACCGGAAGTTGATCAAGGCGCTGAAGATCTTTCTCATTATTCACAGGTCGCACAAGTGTAATGCATTCTCGATCCGGAAAAAGTGCACGGATGGACTCCCGTATCTTACAGATACATTACAACATATGCATCAGTTTCTTATAGATATGTTAAAAATGATGCATCAGAAAGATTGTTGCACCAGATAATTTTATGAATAATGCACTGCAAGAAACTCATGCTGCCATACCGCATTCTTAGAAGATACATCCCTTCCTCCACCTTGTACAGGCCTCAAAGCCAGTTCGAGGTAATCTCTTGGAGTAATTTTTCTGTTGTCTTCTGTCAAATCCAAGTAAAAGTCCTATAGGAAACAAATAATGACTCAGTATCAAATAAGTCACAGGCTGCGTAAACATCAGAACATGCATGTGCCAAAGAGTTGATTTAAGAAGAGAAAATCCACAGCGTACCCTCAGCAACCAAACAAAGACAGGTGAAAAGTGCCCTAGTTCAGATGCAGTGGACCTTCCACCTGAGGCCCTGACACGTATATGTTTGGTCATTTCTGTCACCAGTGAAAGGCGATCAAGTGCAGCTTCATCTATGCCTCCCATCTGTAAGAAGCAAAAGAAGTAGAGAACACCAGTATAATTCCACTCTATGATGTCTTCCCAATTAACAAAATTAGAAGAACATTCAGTCAGCTGCTCAGCAAATTACCTGGTTGTATATGAACATACTTGATAATAGAACAGCTAAAGAAAATATTTGAATACTGTAAGTGCCCTGCCAAAGAGGAAAAGATAGAACATGAGGCGACAAGTCGAAAGCAGAAACGCAAGTATGTACGACTGCAGAAAATTAATTGAAAAAATAATTCACAGAAAACGGACGATAACAGACATTCGTCGCAATTACAATTAGAAAACGACATATTTATCTGTTTAAATGGAATATATTACACCTACTGTCAGCAAAATGACTGATATTAGGTAGAAAACTATTTCTAGGGAAATATTATTTTCAGATTTCACTAGGTAATCAGGTCCAAAGAGGAAAAGATGCATGTAAGTATCTTCATCAAAGATAAACACCAAATGAACTTCGTCAGCAAGACAGCAACTACTAGGGATGAAATTTCTATAAGTTTGCATGCGACGCACAGAGGGTAAGAGTCATAACTCATAAGAACATCATAATATGATCGTCCCAACAAAGAGAAGCTACTGAATTATAAAACTTCTTCATTGAAATCCAACTACTCACAATACAAATAGCTTCCCAGTGTCACAAGTCACAACATATATCATTAACAACAAAAGGCAGCCAACAAAAAGTTAAAGCTAGAAACATACCGTTTGGTCATAAGCATCAATTCCTTCAGTATCCAACAATACAAGGTTGTATTCAGTCCCATCAAGACCAGTTCTCTTCAAAGGTGCACTCCACATCCAAAGTCCCTTGGTACAAGGACGATGTGTTGGCGCAACTTGAAAACCACTGCTTCGGCCTAGAAGCTACAAAAGCAGGTAAAATTTTATCATCTAATGGTGATACAAATTAAAAAAAACATAACCTAATTTGACATTTGATTCACTGGTTGCTCATACACACACTAATCCAATCAAGACATCACACCAATTTTACAATTGAAATATAAGAAATCACTCTAATGCCAAGCAGAAATCCCAAAAGTTGGTAGATAACAATATTTGAGGCGCTGTTTTGCTTTTTATGTCCTCACGAGAATCCCACATATTGTATAGGCACACTGCACACAACTAACTTTACCCTTTAACAGTTGCACGACACATCGACCAAACCAACCGTATTGCTAAAATGCTGCAGGGCTAACACAGTGAGCACTAATCAGAGCACCAATCCAATGAAATCGAGAACAAAAGGCTCCAATTCCACCAGTCAACAAACCCTAGAGGAACGTTCATCGAAAGGACAACTAAAATTGAACTACTCTCGAGATAACACGGCTGATCAAACATTCAAACACTACAAACAAAACCAAAAAAAAAAAACCCTAGCCGCAGGTTGCCGATTGCAAAACCGAACGGAAGTTCCTCAAATCTGTACACATGGGGGGGGGGGGGGCAAGCCGCAAGCGCACGCATACCTGGTTAAGCACGAAGCTCTTGCCCTGGCGCGCGCGGCCGCAGACGGAGACGACGCCGACGGGGCCCTTGACGAGCTGCAGCGCCGCCACCGCCTCCGGGTCCATCACGAACTTCCCCTTCTCGTCGCAGTACACCAGCCGCAGCGGCCGCCCCGGTCCACCCCCACCCTCGCCGCCGTTCCTGACGGGTGCGTCGCCGCCCGCATCCCCCGCGCTGGGGCTCCCGCGGAGGCCGAGCATCTGTAGCATCGCGCCCCCCGCGCGCCGCCGGCAAGGGCACGCCGCCGCCGCTCGCCTCGCTCCGCTGGTTTCAAAATGGGAAGAGGGAAGAAATCGAAACCGAAGTGGTCGAGGGTTACGCGACGCGAGCGTTGGTTTGGGTTGGGTTCGAGTCGAGTCGGTTCCTCCTCCTGCCGCGCTGGAAGCGACGCGGCGGTTTCACGATTCGGATGCTTTTTCCCCTTTGGAGCTGGACGTGCGGCTTGGTCGGTGCATTTTTGGACTTTGGTCCACAGTTGGTCGGTGCAGCGCACGTCACAAAAAAAAGGATTATTTCTACGTGGGCCTCAATGGATTGCACATTTGTTTGTGTTGGGCCAATTTGGTTTGCATGGCTGGGCCTATTGGGGCCTTAAATATTGGGCCTTGCATCTGATTTCGTGGCCTGTGTTACTTATCATGTCTTGAAGTCTTCCCTTCGAAAAAGAAGGGAACATGGTTGTTTGCAATTTGTATGTAACCTTATTGTTTTGTTTTTCTTTTGGCAGTGGTAAAAATTGGAATTGCCAAAAAAAAAAAATGTCGGCAGATTTGCTAGGCATTTGTTTGGTTTGCTATCAAAGTTATATAGTGTACTAAACTAAATAATTTAGCGATGCTACTCCCTTTTCTACAAATCAAATATAGATGCCAATTTTTCGGCTTTTGGCTTTGTAAAACCATCACCAAAGTCAAATAGATTGAAATTCCATTTTTTATAGATTATTGACATGGATTATCTACTACTTTATAGGAATAAATTAAATATTTCTAGTATAAAATTAACAAATACTCCATTTGCGATAAAATAAGTGGTCTAAGCAATATACTAGAAAAAATTGATTTAATGTAATTTTAGATAGGTTGTCGGTGATATGGGCCCGGGGTACCCACACTAAGGGGAAAGGGTCATTTTCCCTAGCCACGTGGCTACGTGGCCGGGCGCGCAGGTAATAAGTAGCCAAAAGGCGCCCATAACAGCCTAGGGGCCTCGGGGTATCCAGTCGCGCCCCTCGGGCCCGAGAGGCTACGTCGCCCCGAGGCCCTCACTCGGCTGCCACGTCACCGCTGAGTGGGCGGAGGAAGGGGCGCTGCCAGACGCATTGATGGGCGGCGCCCCAACCACCATCGTCTCATTTAATGCGGCGTGGCTGGTCGTGCGACGTCCAATCGATTGACGTGCGTCAATCGCCCTTGACCGGGCTGAGACCGGTCGCAGGCGGATGGGACGGGCGGCGGCGCACCCACACCCCGCAGGCAGCGTGGGGGCAGGTATGCCCCGTCCCATCAACTCCCGGAGACCGATGTCAGACCGGTGCAAGAACCCACAGAAGTCTCCAAAAAATTAAGAGGGAATGACCGGGGATGTCCCTCGCGTCAGACAAAGGACGGCGCTGGGACCCACCTGAGGACGAGTGGCCACCTTACTTCCGGTCTAAGGCATAGTTGGTAGCTCGACCCGGGTTGATGTGAGCCCCCTCCCCCTCAACAGCTAGAGGTGTAGAGGCGGTGCATATTGTAACCCCTTGAACTATAAAAGGAGGACCATGCCCCCCGAGCAAGGGGACGACTCTGGAGAGCTCAAATCTTAGGAGAAGATTAGCCAATCGTCGCTCTAGGGTTAGAGGTCTCTTGTAATAGCACAAGCATAAATCCACACGCAGGAGTAGGGTATTACGCTTCCCAGCGGCCCGAACCTGGATAATCCCTTGTCTCCCTTTCGATCGCCATCCGCCACATTAGCGCAATCCATAGCGAAGATACGCTCTTGATCATCGCGCCCTATTCCCCCGGCCGAACTCACAAAGGGGGTCTCACGTCCTCCCGCTGCAAAGGTTCACTCCTCAACAGAGGTGGAGCAAATAATTTATGGTAATAATCCAACGGAGTACATCTCTCAGTTCTATAATTTAGGTAAGCAAAGAGTAACTTAAGAAAATCATCTTAAATGAGCTCCCGAAGTGGAGAAAAAGACTGGGCGTGTTGAGTAAAGTCGTATTGACATAGACTTTGCTGAATATATGTCTATCGACTCTGCATCTGGACATGTAAATTATTCTCATGTAACCATTATTGGACTATTGGGATAAATACAAAGCGAGCCTGTCTGAATCAAAGACAAGTCCCATCTTTACCAGATTAGCAAAAGGATGGTTTCTGAAGGCTCATGTGGCCCTGCCAGAATTGCACTGCTGTTTTTTTTTCCCTCTTTATGTAACGCCATTTTGCGACAGAATCTTTCAGACGTCGTCTGGTCGAATGGGTGCCCCTCAAAATCACAGATTTGCAGTGGCCGGCATGCTAATTGCGTCTCGATTAATCATCGCTTTTCAGACAAAAAACTGAAGGTCGTACTGATAAATATGGCTGCATCACCATCAGCAGTAAAAACTAAAGAGACATGGCACCCAAACTGCTCCAGCACGTTGCACTTAGTACACATTTTGCAGCACTAAGCCGGCAGCAAAAGAAGAGATTTTTACAGTAAACACATGATTCCTGAACAAGCAGAGACATGATGCCATGAGCTGGATTATTATTGTTTTTGCAAAGAGTTACACTAGTGTTAGATTAGTTGCTTCTCCTTATAAGCCGGGAAAGCGAATGGGTGTGGTAGGCCAAACACAAAGAAAGTGAGAGCAAAGATGCTACAAGTACCAGACAAAAGGTTGAGCTGAAAAAAGAAAATAAAAAGGCCCCAACCCAAGCTGACATTTCCATGGCGTTCAGCGTACAGGCTACAGCCTACAGGTTCCCTATCTGATTGCCTACCCCCTGCTAAGTGCTCAACTTGAGCACTTATCTTGCTCCTCACTTCACCAACTCAGCTTGCAGATTGATTAATCAAAAGTAGTATTAGGCTTCGTTCGTTACTGGGCGATCTAGGGGATTGAGAGAGAAAAGTATCTCATTTTCCACGCGCACGCTTCCCAAACTACTAAATGGTACGTTTTAAAAAAAAATCTATAGAAAAGTTGCTTTAAAAAATCATATTAATCCATTTTTGAAGTTTAAAATAGTTAATACTCAATTAATCATGTGCTAATGGTTCACCTCGTTTTGCGTATCTTCCCAATCTCCCCAGTCCTCTTCTCCTCAAACACACCCTTAGAGCCTAGTAGATCGCATTTGCTTCATTTTTCGTAGACAGCTAGCCCAGTACAGTACCCCTGTTAGGAAACGATAGACAAACAAACGATGAATAACAATAGATCAATCACAGAAAACACGAGATTTTTACGTGAAAAACCCTCTCAAAACAGGAGAGAAAAAACCACGAGCTCCAACCAGCAAAATACCTTCACTATATCTGGGGTGAGATTACGCACGGCGGTTTACAAAAGGTATATATATATATGGTGGAATCTAGAAGGGATAACGATCCGTTTCGCGGGGGCTCCGCCCTCGCACCCCCGGCCCAAGCCTCCCGGCCACGGGCTTCCGCTCCACTACGGCAGAAGCTGGCGTTTATTAAGTGGAGATGAATTTAGATCACAACTCAACGCACCCCCAAACTCATAGCGTGCCGGTACGTGTAGTCATGTTGTGTTCAGGAGCAGTGTATTGGATTCAGAACTTTTTTGGCCCTGTGAAGCCAAGCTAGCGTTAACAAAGTGAGGCCAAACAGATACTCCACGAGCAAAGGAGTAACTTTACTCAGGCAGCATGAGCATGCCAGTCAGTCAACAAAGCTCCCAAAAAGAACCACGAATTCTGAAGCGTTCGTCAGGTGAATGGATCCGACGAGATCATCAGAAGCAAGAAAACGAAACGCCCAGGTTTTTCCATCACGGGCTCCTCCAACCTTCCAATCGGAGAGCACAATCACGAGCCGTCCTTCCATCCCCACCCCCATCCTGACACGCTTACATGTGTGCAGCATGAAGTGGTCACTCGTCATGATCGCCCTGACGGCCGCCGGCCATTCGCGCCGCCGGCCAGTGCTACTGCTATAGTCGTAGCTCCAGCGAGTGGAGCGAGTGGAGTCGTACCTCCATCCGCGCGCGCACGTTTTTTAAACAGCTAAACGGTACGTCTTTTTTTATAAAAAATTTATATACGAAAGTTGTTTAAAAAAATTATATTGATATATTTTTTTTAAAAAAAGATAATCTTAATTAATCACACGCTAATATACAACACCGTTTTTCGTGCGCAGAAGATTTGTTCCCGACTGCCCACAACGAACACAGCCATAATATGTACCCCTCCGTAAAAAAAAGACTAATTCTACTTACGAATCTGTATACATGTGTCTAGATTTGTAGTTCGGATTTTTTTTTTACGGAGTAGTACTACTCTCCTACTCCAATCAATCAATGAGAAGGCGCGGCGCCCCCCGGCTGGAACGGGCGAATTCCTGCGACCTCTTTCGAGCAGCGGCAGCGGCAGCGGCACGGCGTAGCCACCATACCGTGGTCCTGGTTGCCAGCAGCGGTTGCGAGACTCTAGCCGGTAGATGCAGTATTGCAGCAGTAACCAGCAGTGTCATTCTCATGAAACCTACCCCTCTCTCTCTCTCTCTCTCTCTCTCACTACTACTGCGTGTAGCTAGGTAGACCATCGATCTCGCGCATGCGAATTCGCGAAGCGAGAATGGGCTTTCTGCGTGACTGTGCACGCCCCGGCATATCCGGGGGGTTATGGGTGCTTTGGAGTCTGTAGGTTTGGGTGCTAAATCTGGGTTAGTTGGGAACTGTCTGGTCTTAGCTTGACAGGACACGGCTATTGCTTGTTCGCCCATTGGCATATTTGGCTGGTAGCAGTAGTACTACTGCTATTGCTTTGATCTCTCATCACTTTAGTTTGCTGCACTGTCCAAATGAATGCTAGCTCCTCTATCTAGAGAGAGTTGCCTTCGATTGTTTCTTTACAGAATAAAGTTGTTTATATATCGTAAACAAGTGAATGCCTTTTTTGTCTTGTGTTTACCAAAGCTAAAGCGACATGCAAACCTTTTTTTTTTCTGCAGCGGCTGGAGAGTAAAGTTTGGCAACAGTTAATTTCTATGGCCTATATTAAGGTAGTGTTTAGTTGGTGTGATAGGATGGGATGGGATGGGACGAAACCCATTTTTAGAGGTGTTTGGTTGAGGGGCGAGTGGGATGGGTTGGTC